TTATGCATGAATTGTGCTCTATATTTTCTATTAGGTAAGTTTGTAATTATTTGTTTATGGACTATATATTTGTAATATTTTTAAAATCATGTCGGATAGATGAAAATTTCCCCTTATCTTATCTTGTCTACCTTATAAAAAAATATCTAAATATACTAGACTAAGCCCAAGACTTTAAACATAAACTAAATATCCATATAAATATTACTATGGCCCAAAACAATTTAATCATCGCAGCCCACTAATCCTTAAAGCCGATCACATGCCCGTATCAGTAATGTAACCCTCCTCACTTGCAAATTCGTGCCCTTCCTGTTGATCGAAATTCCCTTTTTCATCTCCGGCGATGGTGAGCTTTACGTTTCCTCCATTTTCCATCTTTGTTTAAATCACTATATTTCCCTGTGGTATTGAGATTTCACATCTGCTTAAATATTGTTTTCCATTTTGACGATTTGATTCTTTATGCATGAATTGTGCTCTATATTTTCTATTACGTAAGTTTGTAATTATTTGTTTATGGACTATATATTTGTAATATTTTTAAAATCATGTCGGATAAATGAAAATTTCCCCTTATCTTATCTTGTCTACCTTATAAAAAAATATCTAAATATACTAGACTAAGCCCAAGACTTTAAACATAAACTAAATATCCATATAAATATTACTAAGGCCCAAAACAATTTAATCATCGCAGCCCACTAATCCTTAAAGCCGATCACATGCCCGTATCAGTAATGTAACCCTCCTCACTTGCAAATTCGTGCCCTTCTTGTTGATCGAAATTCCCTTTTTCATCTTCGGCGATGGTGAGCTTTACGTTTCCTCCATTTTCCATCTTTGTTTAAATCACTATATTTCCCTGTGGTATTGAGATTTCACATCTGCTTAAATATTGTTTTCCATTTTGACGATTTGATTCTTTATGCATGAATTGTGCTCTATATTTTCTATTAGGTAAGTTTGTAATTATTTGTTTATGGACTATGTATTTGTAATATTTTTAAAATCATGTCGGATAGATGAAAATTTCCCCTTATCTTATCTTGTCTACCTTATAAAAAAATATCTAAATATACTAGACTAAGCCCAAGACTTTAAACATAAACTAAATATCCATATAAATATTACTAAGGCCCAAAACAATTTAATCATCGCAGCCCACTAATCCTTAAAGCCGATCACATGCCCGTATCAGTAATGTAACCCTCCTCACTTGCAAATTCGTGCCCTTCCTGTTGATCGAAATTCCCTTTTTCATCTCCGGCGATGGTGAGCTTTACGTTTCCTCCATTTTCCATCTTTGTTTAAATCACTATATTTCCCTGTGGTATTGAGATTTCACATCTGCTTAAATATTGTTTTCTATTTTGACGATTTGATTCTTTATGCATGAATTGTGCTCTATATTTTCTATTAGGTAAGTTTGTAATTATTTGTTTATGGACTATATATTTGTAATATTTTTAAAATCATGTCGGATAGATGAAAATTTCCCCTTATCTTATCTTGTCTACCTTATAAAAAAATATCTAAATATACTAGACTAAGCCCAAGACTTTAAACATAAACTAAATATCCATATAAATATTACTAAGGCCCAAAACAATTTAATCATCGCAGCCAACTAATCCTTAAAGCCGATCACATGCCCGTATCAGTAATGTAACCCTCCTCACTTGCAAATTCGTGCCCTTCCTGTTGATCGAAATTCCCTTTTTCATCTCCGGCGATGGTGCGCTTTACGTTTCCTCCACTTTCCATCTTTGTTTAAATCACTATATTTCCCTGTGGTATTGAGATTTCACATCTGCTTAAATATTGTTTTCCATTTTGACGATTTGATTCTTTATGCATGAATTGTGCTCTATATTTTCTATTAGGTAAGTTTGTAATTATTTGTTTATGGACTATATATTTGTAATATTTTTAAAATCATGTCGGATAGATGAAAATTTCCCCTTATCTTATCTTGTCTACCTTATAAAAAAATATCTAAATATACTAGACTAAGCCCAAGACTTTAAACATAAACTAAATATCCATATAAATATTACTAAGGCCCAAAACAATTTAATCATCGCAGCCCACTAATCCTTAAAGCCGATCACATGCCCGTATCAGTAATGTAACCCTCGTCACTTGCAAATTCGTGCCCTCCTGTTGATCGAAATTCCCTTTTTCATCTCCGGCGATGGTGAGCTTTACGTTTCCTCCATTTTCCATCTTTGTTTAAATCACTATATTTCCCTGTGGTATTGAGATTTCACATCTGCTTAAATATTGTTTTCCATTTTGACGATTTGATTCTTTATGCATGAATTGTGCTCTATATTTTCTATTAGGTAAGTTTGTAATTATTTGTTTATGGACTATATATTTGTAATATTTTTAAAATCATGTCGGATAGATGAAAATTTCCCCTTATCTTATCTTGTCTACCTTATAAATAAATATCTAAATATACTAGACTAAGCCCAAGACTTTAAACATAAACTAAATATCCATATAAACATTACTAAGGCCCAAAACAATTTAATCATCGCAGCCCACTAATCCTTAAAGCCGATCACATGCCCGTATCAGTAATGTAACCCTCCTCACTTGCAAATTCGTGCCCTTCCTGTTGATCGAAATTCCCTTTTTCATCTCCGGCGATGGTGAGCTTTACGTTTCCTCATTTTCCATCTTTGTTTAAATCACTATATTTCCCTGTAGTATTGAGATTTCACATCTGCTTAAATATTGTTTTCCATTTTGACGATTTGATTCTTTATGCATGAATTGTGCTCTATATTTTCTATTAGGTAAGTTTGTAATTATTTGTTTATGGACTATATATTTGTAATATTTTTAAAATCATGTCGAATAGATGAAAATTTCCCCTTATCTTATCTTGTCTACCTTATAAAAAAATATCTAAATATACTAGACTAAGCCCAAGACTTTAAACATAAACTAAATATCCATATAAATATTACTAAGGCCCAAAACAATTTAATCATCGCAACCCACTAATCCTTAAAGCCGATCACATGCCCGTATCAGTAATGTAACCCTCCTCACTTGCAAATTCGTGCCCTTCCTGTTGATCGAAATTCCCATTTTAATCTCCGGCGATGGTGAGCTTTACGTTCCTCCATTTTCCATCTTTGTTTAAATCACTATATTTCCCTGTGGTATTGAGATTTCACATCTGCTTAAATATTGTTTTCCATTTTGACGATTTGATTCTTTATGCATGAATTGTGCTCTATATTTTCTATTAGGTAAGTTTGTAATTATTTGTTTATGGACTATATATTTGTAACATTTTTAAAATCATGTCGGATAGATGAAAATTTCCCCTTATCTTATCTTGTCTACCTTATAAAAAAATATCTAAATATACTAGACTAAGCCCAAGACTTCAAACATAAACTAAATATCCATATAAATATTACTAAGGCCCAAAACAATTTAATCAT